ATTTCCACACTCAGGACAGGAAATACGGCTTCTCCCCTATGTGAGATCTCTGATGTTTCTGCATGGTATTGCATTTCTTTGAAAACCGTTTTCCACACTCAGGGCAGGAATAACGGCCTTCTCCCCCCCGTGTGAGATCGCTGATGTGTGTAAAGATGGGACTTCTGTGAAAAACATTTCCCACACTCAGGTAACAGGAATATGGCTTAACCCCCTGTGTGAGATCTCTGATGTTTATGAAGATTGGAGGCAAGACTTCACTGAAAAACATTCCCCACACTCAGGACAGGAATACGGCTTCCCCCGTTGTGAGAAATCTTGAATGTCTGTAAATATCGGACTTCCTTGAAAAACATTTCCGTGTCAGGACAGGATACGGCTTTTCCCCCGTGTGAGATCTTTGATGTCATTAAGATCAGATTTATAATGGAAACATTTCCCGCACTCACTACAGGAGAGCGTCTTCCCTGTTGGAATGCTGGGCCCGGTCCCGCACAATCTGAGGTTCCTCAGGATCGAGGAATCCGATGGTCCATCTACACTGGGTGGTGCCGGATGGACATTGGAGGGAGCCGGGTTTTCTCCTGGACTATACTGTGTGATGTCCTCATCTTCTACTTTCCAGTCTGGAGACAAAGTGAGACAATCCTCGGAGGTTTTCCTCATCTCCCGGCCATGGACTAAAATACAAAGACAAAGAGGATTACTAGACAGGAGCTGATTGGTTCCCCCAAACCAGGACCTCCGCCCACATCAGGCAGCTTGGTCTCTGAGGAGCTTACAATTCCACCCTCAAGGGAACTAGGAAATGGCTCCTCTGATCTCCTACCAGGTCATTTCTTTATTCATGGACCTTAGTCAGAGAGTGAGGAAACAACCAGAACTGTCTTTTATAGGAGGGACAGTGATGAGGGGATTATAGGACGAGGGTCCCCACCCCCTCTATCACTCATCGCCATCTTCCCAACACAAGAAGTACTGCACTTCCTTATTTAGTCCATGATTTAGTCATGAAGAACAGCGGGGCTGAGCCCCACCAGAGGTCAGAGAGTGAGGATGGGGGGAGAACAACCAAGATGAAGACTGGACTGATCCTGAAGACCACCATCATTGGGGTATTGACTCCTCCCTCATTATCACTTTCTGTTTAAGGGTCCAAAGTTGGAGGATGTTATCACATTATTATCACCATGTAAAAGTCTGTGCTCCAATCACATCATCCGATATAAAATGTCCAGCTGGGAGGAAATGGGGGGTAACAAAAGAGAATCCATATTATGTGTATATATAGCAGAGGGGGGGAGGGGGGAGAGCAGAAGTCAGGAGTATATAATGTACAACATAGAGTATAAATAGTGCAGGGGTCAGGAGTATGTAATGTACAACATAGAGTATATAGTGCAGGGGTCAGGAGTATGTAATGTACAACATAGAGTATATAGTGCAGGGGTCAGGAGTATGTAATGTACAACATACAGTATATAGTGCAGGGGTCAGGAGTATGTAATGTACAACATAGTATATAGTAGTGCAGGGGTCAGGAGTATGTAATGTACAACATAGAGTATATATAGTGCAGGGTCAGGAGTATGTAATGTACAACATAGAGTATATAGTGCAGGGGTCAGGAGTATGTAATGTACAATATAAATTATACAGTATGCAGGGGTCAGGACTCATAATATTGTAATCAGTTAGAATGAGATTAAATGTTTACTGTAGACAAGTTGCAGAGATCCCACACCGCTGCCTCCCATCTCCTGAGACTGCACTCAGTGACTTGGGTCTGAGACACTACAGACATATCCCTCCACCCGGCACAGCCAGCAGACCACAGAGCAAGTAATGGGAGAAATTTCAGAGATCTCTTACTAGACCAGGGCATGGGGAAGAAGACACAAACACCCCAGGTTCCTTAGTCTAGTAACACCTATGGTGAAAGTCAACATTTTGCTGCCAGCTGAACCCCAGAACCTCCATAAATCCAGTCTAGAGACATAAATTGTGTCTGCAGCACAGAGAAGGAAGATTATCCGAGAGAAATCCAGGAATACAGGACGGGAACACAGCTCAGGAAAGTGACCAGGGGATTACAGGCTGATATCACCCAGTCCCCGCCCTACTCTGGACCAATCAGTGAGCAGTATGGGTGGAGGAATGGATTTAGTGTTCATGACCCACCTGTGTGCTGATCTCTGTAGGAGTGTCCTCCTCTATAAATGTGTCCCCGTTATTCCATCCTCCTCCATAGACTGCTGATCATCCCCTCACATACGCCTCTTCTTCTTCTGCTTTCACCTCAAATTCTATATCGATTGGATCTCCACTCTAAATCAAGAAAATGAGAGAAAATATCATCTGTAAAATGTAAGATTTATGATTGTGACATCACACACAAAATCCACACTTTGTCTTTATCAGTCCATGTTCTAGATGCTCCATCCCACCAACCTTGTAGTGATGAGGGATGGTGTGACCTTCCTGTGTGGAATCCCGGGAATACAGAGGACGGGGACATCTCTCTGGTGGGTTCCTGGTATTAGGTGGCTCCATCATCTCCTTGTGTCCTTCTGAAAACTCCTCCATCACTCCATACTCCTCATCCTCCTCTTTATACTCTTCTTTAACATCAATATTATCATCCCCGAGGATTCCACTCTGAAAGATATAATAAAACATTCATTGTAACAAACATGCTGTGTATAAATCACAACTACCAATAATTGTCATCATCTACCTGATGATGGTGAGGGATGGTGTGACCTTCCTGTGTGGAATCCCGGGAATACAGAGGACGGGGACATCTCTCTGGTGGGTTCCCATGTACTGGATCCATGTAGGAAACACACACTGACCTGGTATTGATTTCTATGTGTTTATCAGATGAGATCTAGCTGACTCCTCCATCCCCCCATCCTCATCCTCCGTCCTCTTTTATCTCTTCTTTAACCTCAGCTTTAGTGTCTCTCAGGTTTCCACTCTGAATATATAATAAAAATGACATCAATGGTAACAATGCAGATAATGTACAGGGGCGGCTAATTGTCCATCATGATTGTTCCTTGTACCTGATGATGGTGAGGATGGTGTGACCTTCCTGTGTGGAATCCCGGGAATACAGAGGACGGGGACTCTCTCCATGGTGGAAATAGACCATGACATCCATCTGTAGGAAACACACACACACTGATACTGAATCCATTGTTTCTATGTGTTTTATCAGGATGATGGGGGATCTAGGTGGATCCTCCGTACTGCTCTCACCTTTACAATAAAGTCTCCTCTTACCCGGTGATGTGAGGGCGGCTGATTGTCCATCATGACGTCCTTGTAGAGATCCTTGTGTCCTTCTAAATACTCCCACTCCTCCATGGAGAAATAGACAGTGACACCCTGACACCTTATAGGAACCTGACACACACAATGATACAGTCACCATCCAGACACATCCCTTGTCTGTTACTGGAGAATGTCCCCAATTCCCGGCACCGCTCACCTCTCCTGTCAGCAGCTCAGTTATCTCTCTGGTGATTCTAGAATCTTCTTCTTCTTTCTCTCTTCTATCAGGGAGGGAGGTGGAGGCACCCTGTGATGTCATATGATCTCCAGACTTCACAGGAGGAAAACTCTACATCTGAACACAAATAGTCACATCAAATGATATTCCCAGAATCCTCCTCACCTCTCCATTCAGGTCTCCATTTTAGGAAGCCCCACTTCAGGCTGAGGTATAGGAATTCCCCCCCACAGGACCCCCACACTGGAGGGACATTGGGTATAGGCTGTGTTGCAGCATTCTGATGTCATTAAATACAACTCAGACCTGGAACAGGGACATTTACATGTGAGGATACCAAGGGGCCCCCACAAGTCCTGAGTGTCATCCTAATGAGGATTCTCAGAAAAAATCCAGATGGAGGGACATTGGGAGGAGGAGCTGTGAGGTCAGTGTGATGTCATAGGATTCTCTGACTCCGGATGGAGGGACATTGGGGAGGAGGAGCTGTGAGGTCAGTGTGATGTCATAGGATTCTCTGACTCTGGATGGAGGGACATTGGGAGGAGGAGCTGTGAGGTCAGTGTGATGTCATAGGACATATAGACTCTGGATGGAGGGACATTTGGATGGGGAGATTTGAGGGGTCCTCTATATGAGACTCCCATGCATGGACCAAATCCTTGTTCCTGGGTGCGTCCTACCTCTCCTAAACTGAAGAGTGACCTTTGACCTTTACCATCCAGAAATCTGTCCGGAATCTGTGGAAGTAAGCTGTCATGTGATCAGGTGACGTGCGGAGGAACGGAGTGTAAATAGCAGACAATTGTCTCCTCAGAGCCCCTAATGGTGGGGATGGATTTGGCGGCGTGCTGGTGCCAAGTTTCCTCCCCCCAGGGTCACTGCAGGTGTGGAGAAAAGCTGTGTAAGAGGATATGGAGGAGAGATGAGGAGGAGATCCAGGAATCAGGAGAAAGGTCAGGGCAAGCAACAGACGAGCGCATCCAAGAGACCAAGCCGGGGTCACTACACAGAAAATCAATCCAAGGAAACAACAGGCAGGACGAGGAATAGCAAGAAGGAGCTGAGAGACAAATGAGAATATTGCTCAGCCAATGGGAGATGATCTCAGCATGACTTCCATCATGAAGGAGATGAGGGGGAGGGGAGGAAGTCACTGAAGGTGACCATAGATCCATGGAAATTCAGCTGGTTCAGCAGGGATCGCTCACATTTCCATCCATGTGTGGCCACTGCCGGATAAAAGCCCACTCCCCCAGCGGCTGCAGCCAATAGCTTCAGTGCTGATCCGTGTATTCTGAGAGCGGAGGAGTCCCCCCATTGTCAGAATACAAGAGTGCAGCGGGGAGGATTCCCCCATCCACCTCCAATGTGTGGATGGGGGAATCACTTCTATTTCCTTCCATGACCTTTTTGTCTCCCGCTCCCTTAACCTACTAGCAATTACAGAAACCTGGCTCCAAGCAGCAGATTCTTCTTCCCCCACAGCACTTCCCTATGGAGGCCTCCTCTGGACCCACTCACCCAGACCCAGTGGTCAGAAAGGTGGTGGGGTTGGTTTGCTTCTATCCCCACTGAGCACCTTTCAAGTCCTCCCTAACCCTCCCTCTCTATCCTTCTCTTTCTTCCCAGACTCACTGCATCCGGCTGTTTTCTCCCATTTCTCTG